GCGGCCCCTTGGTCTGACTGAGGCGGCGAGGGCCTCCAGAGCTCCGTCTTGAGGGCGGACGTGAGGGACGGGTGTGGGCAGCGGAAAGTGCCCGCCGAGGCCCTGGCTGCCAGCCTGTCAGCCTCGACTCTCCTCTGCTCACTCCTGAGCCCAGGCGGACTAGCGCCAGAGGGGCGCGGCCAGCCAGGTGGGGACCCTAGGGGTGACCGGAGGGCCCGGCCGCCGGGTGGGAGCGGGTGCGGACGTAACCTGCGGGGTCCAGGCTTCCTGTTCCGACCTGGCGGGTGACTGTCTGCCCGGCCCTGCCAACCAGCTAGTCTAGCCGGCTGCGGGCGGCTCTAATTTACTTCATCCTCCGGCGGTTTGCCATGACCGCCTCTCCCAGCTGCTTCCCTGCAGCTGTTCTCTGGTCTGTCAAGTTTTCATCACCTGGTTGCGACTTGTTATCATTCACTGAGAATTTCATTGTTAATCTGTGTGAAGCATAGCTAGGGAATAAACTGACTGATTTCATCAACTTTTAGTGGGTGCTGTTTGCGGTAAGTGGTGATTGTTTAGGTATTAGTTTTTAGGGTTTGTGAAAGATGAGATGCCTCATATTAAAAAGTCAAACTGGCATTCAGACTTGATTTGGTTAATCTGCCAACAGAAGTGACTTTCTCTGTAGTGGATGCTTTTATGATCAAAAGAAATGTATTTTTAAAATATTTCTAAAGAAAAGTTATGTAAGAGGAAAAAACCCAACCAATCATGGACCTGTGATCTTATGTCTGAGAATAGATATTAATTTCTGGTACAGACTTATAGAAAGAAACCTCTAAAGTGAGTTTATGATCTAGATACCCTCCCAGCACCATGTAACAGATTGGGTAACTGAAGTCCAGAATATTAACTGGATTTGCTCAAGGTTATATAGTTTTGGACTCTTTATTTGACTGTTGACCTTTAAATTTAAAGTCTTATTATAGAGTCTGATAAAATCATTTACTTTTTTGAAAAAAGAATTATTTATTTAATTCCATTTGTTATTATTTATTATTATTTTAATTTGACCAGAGAGAGAGAAAGGGAGAAAGCATGCCTCCAGGTCTGGGACTTGAACTGCAGTTGGCTTCTAGCATCCTTAACCACCACACCACTGGCCAGCCCCAGTTATTTACATTTACTGTTTTCACACTACTGGAATGATATATACTCCCCCCCCAACTTGTCCTTTTCTTTCACTTTTAAATGTATTTTGGATACTTCTTATTCTATGGAAACATTGTTTCTGATACTCAAGTCATTAACTTTTTAATTTTTATATTGTTAAATACACTTTTATGTTTATATCTCATTTGATTAAAAAGTTCATTTTTGAAAGGATAGCATATAATATACTTTAATATTGTAACATATCCGTTTGTTGTGTTATTATTAGTTAAGTCATATGTATGAAAGTGCCTTTGCTTTTTTTCTACATTGTCATAGATCAGGGTTGTTAAAACGAGACAGGAAAGGTTAGGACTGTCCTAGGACCAGCCGTTGGCATAAAGGCTATGTCACTGGACTTCCATGTAGTGGACCATGGATTGAGTCCTGGACCCGGTGGCTTAAACTCACTCTTTCTGGCGAATGCTCATGCCTTATACCAAAAACCTCTGGGAGGAGGGGAAGAAGCAGTCTGTCCTATCATTTATCACATGTATTTCAAAAACGAATTAGATCTATTCTATTGTAAATCAGTTTATTTTAAACTATCTGGCCAGCAGGTGGCGTAGTGGTTAAAGTGCTGGACTTCACCCATGATTGACTGCAGTTCGAGTCCTGGATCTGGAAGCTTGATTTTTTTTCTCTCTCTTTCTTTCTGTGGTGAGCTCATGTGCTCACAAAAACAAAACAAAACAAAACAAAAAAGTTATTTTTTAATTTGCCAGAAAGCCTGTGCACTCACTAGAGAGAGACAGGGATGGGGGAGAGAAAGGGAAAGTGAAAAAACAAGTCACCAGGCCCAGGACTCAAACCATGGTCTCATGACTCAAACTGTGGCCATATGGGAGTCTAACATCTTAACCACCATGCCACCTGCTGGCCCCCAATTATTTTTTCTTGGTCAGTACAGGCATAGTGTCGCTCGACCTCTTGAAACAGCACAGCTGGGCCCTATGTGTTTTTTTTGGAGAGAAGATCTTGTGTTTATTCGTTTTATTTATTTATTTATTTATTTATTTATTTGACAGAGGTACATGTGCTCACTGGGGAGAGAAAAGAGGGAGAGAAAGTGAGAAAGCCACCTCCATGAGGGATGATCACATATTAATTCCTTCTCCATTTTTCCTTCCTGTTGCAGTTTTGGGCATGCACACATTCACCCCATGTGTGTTTCAAACTGTCAGGAATGGGACTTGAACTGCAGAGTCATCCTTGTGGGATTCACCCACCTTAACCACCACACCACTGGCTAGCCCTATTTATTTTTATTTGCTAGTGTGTATGTGCTTCTGCAAAGGGAGACAGAGCAACAGCAACAGAGAGAAAAAGCCCCCACCTATAGAGAGTAGTGAAACTGTAGTCCCTTCCGCATTTTTTCATCCTGTCAGGAGTTGGGGCATGCACACATACACACCCAGAGTGTTTTCCAAGCCATCAGGTCTAGGACTCAAACCACATGATTGCTAGGTGGGATCCAGCTTGCTTGCTTGCTTGCTTGCTTTCTTTCTTTCTTTCTTTCTTTCTTTCTTTTTTTTTTAAAGAATGATTGATTTAATTTTATTTATTGTTATTATTTTTTAATTTGACCAGGGAGAGACAGAAACAGAAAGAGGGAAAGCAAGAAAGCAAGCTGCCATGTCCGCTACTTGAACTGCAGTTGGTCATGTGGAAGTCCAGCACTCCAGCCACCATGCCACCTGCTGGCCTCAGGGATCTGGCGTACTGTTTTTTTTGTTTGTTTGTTTGTTTTTTAAGAGAGGTTTCTGCTATAGGCTGTGTGCACTCATCAGAAAGACAGAGAGAGACAGAGACAGAAAGCGAGAAATCACTCCCCAGGGGGGATGGCCACGCCACAGTCCCTTCTCCTCTCGGGATCTTGGGCATGCACACACATGCACCTGGTGTGAGTTTAAGCTACCAGGTCTGGGACTCGAACTGCAGCCAACTACATGGGAGTCCAGCGACATAGCCATTGCGCCAGCTACTGTTCCCAGGGATCCAGCTCTCTTAACCATCAGACCATGGACTAACTTGGAGGTCACATTATAACCTAGAAATTTAAAACACTATTTTTTTTTTTTTTAAGAATTATTCTGTTTGGTGGGAAAGTGAGAGAAAGGGAAAAGAGGGAGAAAGGGAAAGCGAGAAATAAAGTTAAATAATTATTTATTTTAATTTGACCAGAGAGGGGGAGAGAGAGAAGAGGGGGTGGGGGAAAGTAAGACCCCAGGTCTGGGACTCAAACCATGGTCGGCCATGTGAGAGG